GGTTGGATATAAATTCGTAAATAAAATATGAGTTTATGAACTCTGCTACCTGTATACAGTCAGTTTCCTAGGGCTAATTGCTTCAAGCCTCAAACATTGCAGATTCCTAGAAGAGATCTGTAATTATTCAAAGTTTGGTGTAGTGATTAGGGCACTGGCCTTATAGTTATTAGAAAAATCTGAGTCCAGTTTCTGCCTCAGATACTTACTGGCTATGTGACCTTGGGCATGCCTCTTAACTTCTTTGTCCCTGAGTCTCCTCACCTGTTAAATGAAGGGATTAGACTCTAAGGCCCCTTATGACTCTAAAAATCTATGATCTATGAACTTAAAGAAATTTGGCCTATCCATGCAGGAAAGACGAAGTGGATCAAGAATTTCTCTCGTCCAGATTTCAACATCTCTTTGACCGTACACCCTATAAAAATTTAGGCAGCAGTACCTAAATCTGGAATAAATGGCATGAATGGATAGTGAGTTTGGCCCATAGTTGAACAGAAGAAGAAAAGCAGGCTAGATTGCTTTTGGGAAACTACACAGCTCTTTTGCTAACCCCAAGTCTCCTGTGAAAGGAAAGGCCCAACCCCCCAATACTAACATTTTACCAATGTGGCTATTTGGCATTGAGGCGTGGAATACTACTGCCTCCAAGGAACTAAAAATAAGTGTCACACAGAGGTCAGTGGAGAGGTGCATAGTGGGTGTGAGCAGGCTACAACATATAACTAATCAGGAATTCCAACAAAAGCCCAGAGTAAAGGACATCATTAAGGAACTGTATGACAGGAAAAGAAGATGGTCTGGTCACATGACAAGAGTAAGAGATGACAGATGGCTATAGTGCTCCACTGGTGCTTTTAAGGTGTTAGAAGAAATCAAAGACTGCCAGAAATAATAAACGCTTGTTGACTTATTGACATTGGGTGGAGTCCATTGGTAATTTAGAGAAGGACATGGACAAGAGTCGCAGGAGATAGGCAGGCATGAATAGTAGGTGATTGGCATTATTGGAGAGTACTCTTGAATTGATCAACTCAAATCCATTTCAGTATTTCATTTGAATACATATTTATATAAATGTGTTTTTATATTAATATAAATGCTACTAGAAAGAAGACAGTGAGAAAAGAAGGAAGATCTCTTGGTCAAAGAGTATGAACAGTTTAGTTATTTTTACTTGCATAATTCACATTTGATATCTGGAACAGTTGGGCCAACTTACAGTTCCAGCAGTGTCTTGGTTTACCTTTATTCTCACAGGCGTTCAATTATTGACTGGTCTTGTTTTTGTCATTTTTGCTAGCTTGAAGCTGATGAGGTAAAACTTCATGATTTTTATTAATACCTTTCTCTAATTATTATTGATCTAGGGCATGTTTTCGTATGATCATTTATGCTTAGTTGTTTTTCTCTCGGAAACTTCAAATCCTTTGACACTCTATATCCTCTACTGGGGAAAGCCTCCTGGTCTTAGATGTTTGTGTCAGTTCTCTGGATATCACTGATATTTGATGTAAAGATTTCTTGTTTGACTTCACCTTCTATTTTGTCTTCATTGGTTTTATTCATACAAAAGCTTTTAACTTTTATATGATGAAAATTGTCTTCTGTTTGGTTAAGAACTTTCCCTCTAGCCATAATGGTATGAGGTACCTACCTATTTCTTTGGTACTCTGATTTTTTAATAATGCAATCTTTTATGTTCATAATATTTATTCATTTGGCACTGTTTTAATTGCTTCTGGTTCTTACTTATTTAAATAAGCCTATTCTACTGAATAATTTTGATGACTACTGTTTTATAATTTTATCTGCTAATGCTGTTCCATTTTCTTTCCTGCTTTATTTTTCATCCTTTTTCTCACAGACAAATAATTTCTTTTAGTAACTAAGGGTATAGTTCTCTATCAGGTGACAATTTCACCAAGAAGAATGAAGGATATTCTCTTGCAGTCTTCTCATCTAATGGAGTATCAACTCTCTATTGGCCATTTTTGTTCTGTTCTTTTCTGTCCAAAGGCTATTTTCCTTAGCAGCGAAAACAAAAACAAAAAAAGAATTGAGCAGCTCTGATCTTCTCTGTGGTCACCACTTGACTCTCTATGGCCTGAGAGGGACAGTCTTTCCATTTCTTTGTTGTTGTTCTGTCCTTCAACCCATTGGACTCATCAAGACCAGTGGACCATTCTGTACATGGGGTTTTCTTGGCAAAGATACTGTAGAGATTTGCCATTTCCTCCTCCGGTAGATTAAGGCAAACAGAGGTTAATTGACTTGCCCAAAATCATATATCTAGTGTCTGAGGCCTCCTGATCCAGTACTTCTCTATTCACTGAGCCACCTAGTTCTTCTTTTCCCTATGTCTTTTCCCCAGGGTCACTTTAAAAAAAAAAATCTGCTTTTTAAAATCCTCTTTTTATTGCCCTTGCCTTTCTTTGCCAGACTCAGCTCACTCTGAGTGTTTTTAGCACTCCCGGCAGTATTCTTATGAGCCTTATCTACAGTCTTCCTCTGTTTCCTGCCCTTGCTTCCATCTTGTCTTTTTTATAATTTACATTAGTTGGGAAGTTCTATTTTCATCCAAACTGTTCTCTTCAGACAGCTCCCCTTTTCTCTTTTTACTGGAATTTTTTTCTCATTGTGTCTTCAGAATTTTCATTTTTGAGAATTTCCTGTTTCTAAAGAGAGGTGCTCTGTGAAGCTGATACTAGCACTGAGACCTAGAACAGTTTACATAATCCTGTTATCTAGTTTTTTATCTTTAATTACCTCTACCTTATACAATTGCCCCAGAAGTTACCTTTTAAAAAAGAAGGCTTCCATTTTCCTCTCTTCTCCATTAAGAAAATTTCCTAAGATATTGGATAAAAGTAGGACACTTAAGAATTAGTACTATTTTAAAGGAGAAAATACATGAATCTTATGGAAGCTTATCTCTCCCTTCCTCTCTCTCCTCCCTCACACCCCTTCCCCCACATATTCAAAAAATTTTGGATAGAAACATCTTTTTCTATAACATAAGTTCCCAGTTAAATATAAATTAATAAAAAATATTCCCCAACAAAAGAGTAAATTTTGAAAAAGTAAAATTGTTCAGCTAAAGGACAGAAACATATAGTTATTTTCCCAAGTCACTATTTGTTCATAAAGGCTTATTTAGTGGTTAGGGCTCTGGACTTAACAAAATAAGCCTTTATGAACAAATAGTTCTATAGCAAATAGTGGGGACATTGACCTAGTGTTTGAGAAATTAGTGGAAATAGGAAATGCAGTGCAAATTTTAGGCATTACATAGTACATCAGCAACTTTTGGACTTAAGAGGGGTGGAACAAACTATAATTGTGAATTTTTTTTGTGACTCCTAATTTAAATTATAGTTTCCCTATTTTTGAGCTTTTCTTCAGTCTATTGTTAGAGACTGATTTGTTCTGTTAAAATGGATTTTTAAGAGCTAAGAATGGTCTTGTTCAGAATTGGCATAATTCCATTTTTGTTCTATTTTGGTTATTTTTTTCCCACGTATGACCCCCTGCATAAGAACTGCAGGACCAGCTCAAAACATCTGGTTTCCTTCAGTGTCTTCTTTCCTCCCTGATTGCTGCAGAAGAGGGCTTCCACAACCCAAGGACGCACACTCCTCTCCCTTATCTTGTCTCACAAGTGATATATGGTCCCCTTGGATTGAATGCAACTGGCTATACTAACAAGGACACATTCTGTTTGTTTTCTATGCAACTAGTGATGTACATTCTCCTTAACAAGCATACCTTTTCTTTCTTTGTATAACTAGCCACAATATTTCGAGCAGCCATTTTTTCTTCTTTGTCTTAAGTAACATATAATATTACTAGCCAAATTATAAGTCACACATGTCTATCCATTTGCTGGTGAAGTGTGCCTCACTCTGAGTGAATAAACTGTACTGATTCTATTTGTTTTGTGCTGGCTTATTGACATTGGCTAGTAAAACAAACTAAAAGAAAGTTCGTGCAACAGTTCCAAATAAATGATTAAGATGTCCCAAACTTGTAAACATTTTATGTTCTAAAGTGAATTTGTAAGGCAGGTTTTTGGGACTCAGAATGTATCTTCCCATAACCATAATATTATAAATGGTGATAGGTACACAGGTTTTTGTGTAGTAGCCTATTTGCCCCATAATGTAGACGAAGTGTTGTATTTTTACAATGGGGGAAAAAAACCTCAGGAAACCCAGCTACTGTAACACTAGTGGCTAAACCTCTAGGATTCCTTAAAACCTCTGAGATTTTATTCTTCTGATCAATATGAGAAAGTAATAAAATTAGATTTGAAAGTTTCACATTTAATCTTGAATCATTTTTTTCCAAAGCAAAAACATGCCAGCAGAGCCCACCATCAACCCAGGATAATTTGGCTGGTGTCTGGTTCAGAAAGAGGCAAAGTACAGCCAGTTATTCTTATGCATGGAATGTTTGCCAGTTGTTTGTTTCTTACTTGTAGAGTGCCAGTAAGTCTACTTTTCATGCTGTCTTGTGTTGTTTGACTAATTAAAAATATTGGTGATGAACCTGGTCCAAAACAATATCTCAAAGTATTATAAATAGATGCAAGGTACAAGTATCCTTATTTCCATCATGTTTTTTCTGTATAAGATCATGCTACTAAATTAAGTAAAAACTAAATCTCCAGGCCATTCATATTGGGCTTGCAAAATAAACATGATAATGAGTTTCCAAATAGGTTTATCAATAAAAACAGAAGCGGTATCAAATATTGCAAGGAAAATATTGATAGCTTAAATTAAAGCTGTTAAAGCTTTTAAATGCACCAGGACTTTTGGGACATTCTTTATTATCCCCATTTTTATGGATGCAGAAACTAGTGCTTGGAAGGGATAGAAAACAAGAAAGTAGTAACTAATATTCTTTTAAAGACAATTTTAAAGATGTACTTTAGGGCTTTCATTGGAAATATAGATCATTATATGTCTCTCATATTTTGACTTTTTCTTTTTCAGGAACTGAAGGAATGTTCAGGTCATGTATTTGTGGATTCTGTGCCCGAGTTCTGTTTACCAGAGGTAAGTATGAAATTAATTTCAGTATGCTATCCATATCTAGAGACAAAACTATGGAGCTTGAATGCAGATCAAAGCATACTATTTGCTCTTTTTTTTTCTTCTGTTTTGTTTCTTCTTTCTTGTGGTCATTACAACATGACTAATGTGAAAATATGTTTAATAGGAATGTATATCTGGCGCCTATATCAGATTTCACACTGTCTTGGGGAGGAAGGTGAGGAGGGAGGAGGAGAAAATTTAAAACTCAAAATCTTATGAAAGTGAATGGTGAAAACTAAAAATAAATTATATTAAAAAAAGAAATTAATTTCAGTACAAAATATTTTATCTCCTATAATCTTCCAGGATGAAGTTAAAAATCTAGAGAAATTTTCGGCATTTTTCCTGTTCCCAGATAGAAATGAACATGTAAAATGACAGATTAGTATAATTACAAGTTAATATCATGGAGTTTGTACAAGTCCCAGGCTAGTCTTATTCTCTGACATAACAATTACAAATAGTAAAATCACCATTTTTATGTTAGCCCAATTATTGATAACTAATCCCTGGTGCCACTGTTTTTAAGGGTCTTCTTATATTTATGTATTTTAGTAATTCAGGGAGCTTTCAGATAAACAGATAAGAAGAAAGAGAGAGAGAGACATTTTGTTTATTTGTTTGGCTACTTTACTAACCTAGACAGTAGCCTTTCTTTAGTTAGATAATTTTTGAGAGTATCCATGGCTGAAAAATTTCCCACCTTTCTATCAGCATACTGATAATCCTCTTCAAAAGCTGGTGCTTGACAATGGATATGCTATTCCCTGACAGACATTTTGTTCCCCATCCCTTCCTCCTTCATTGCTTTCTAGGTTCAAGAAGAATGCAGCAAGAACCCAGATTTGTTTAAGTACTTTATTATTCTCCCATAGCTCTGGCTAGCAGCTATGGTGAAGAAGTAGGCTAGACAGCGTAAATTGAATTCAAGCCAACCTTAGGAATTCAGGACTTTGCAGAATAACACTTTCTTCTTTCCTCCTACTTTCATGGCTTTCAAAGAAATTACTCTTCCTCAAGTATTAGTTCCAGATATTCCATCTCTCTTGTTTACTTTCGTCATATTTCTCACGTTGACATCATCCTGCACCCATCTAGTTCAAGCTCTCATGGGACAGTTGGTGCTTCTTTGGCACCCTGGTAATGGGTCTGTGGTATCTGCTGGCATGTCAGTGTCTTGGATCACCATCTAGCCACCTCCAGCCTGCTTTCTGCTAATTTAGCATTCCTCTAGGATTCTGTGGAATGACCACCATCCTTTTGGTGTCGAGTCCTCCTGAACTACCTTTTCAAGGCACCATACTGCTTTCTCCTGTATCCCTTGAGATAGAATGCATGTTTGTGAAACATAATGAGACTAATTCTCCAATAGTTTAAGTGGCTAAAAGATATGAACAATCTCCTTACCATGTGAAAACATTTTCCATACCAGCAGCAAAGATAAAGAAGCAAATAGTCAACACTGTAGGGGCTGTGGGAAGACAGGCCCATTAATATGCTGTTAATACAATTGTGATTTTTTTCAACCATCCTGAAAACAATTTGAAATTATGTAAGAAAAGTTACTAAACTTTTTCACTTTGACCCAGCAGTCCCACTCTTGGGCATATGTAGGTCAAAAACAGAAGGAAAGGTCTAATATATGCCAAAATATTTTTGTAACACTCTTTGTAGTAGAAAAAAGCTGTAAACAAAGTTGAGTATCCATCAGTTGGGTCAACAAATTTAGGTATGTAATGGAATATTATATCACAAAAAATTTCAAGTGTGAGGTATTCAGAGAAACGTGGAATGAGCTGGTACATGATCTCGTACAGAGCAGAAGAATAATATATAAAATGTCTGTGATACTATAAATGAAAACAACACTAAAATATAACTGAACTCAGAGTAAATGCAATGACCAGTCTTGTCCTGAGAACACATTTTTCTCCACTTGATAGGAAGGTGGGAGATTTTAAAAGAAAAATGAAGCTCTACATTTCAATAGATAAAGCTAACGTTAGGAAAATTATTTCAAAGTGTTATTGAAGGGACCATCCTTGGACCTGAGCAGGCTGCTGCCCAGTCAACTTATTCCTCTCCCCCAGCCTTCGTCCTGTTTTTGCTGCTCTGATTTTTCTTGCTCTTCTGATAAGCTTTTAACCCCATCGCTACCATAATAAGATATTCAGTCTGTCAGTAGGTCCTGTACTTTGAGCCTTTCAGATTGGTCGGACCTCTGAGATGTAGATATTTCTCCAAAAGTTATTATTACTGGTCATAGTTTTTTTTTGTTTTAATTCCCTCTGGTACAGCTATACCCAATATAAAATTGGGTATAGCAGTATAATTTTCCATTAATGTTGAGCTATTCAGATTTCACTATAATTCAAAATAACCTCTCCACTTCTGCTAAAATGATAGTGTTAGGTGAGTCATAGGAGACCAGCCTAAATGCTCAACTTCTCATTATCTCTTCTTTGTATTTCTATCTCCACACACGCTCAGTACATTCTGTATATTTTTGGTGGTGTTACCAGATTAGGCAGGCAAGACAATTGAGTGGTGAAAGCAGGAAGACAGTAAATATTGTTAAGTCCATAATGAAAGCATATGCCTCTTTCCCACTCCCACTTCCCACTTCCCACTCCCAACTGCCTTTAGGAAGTTTGTAAAAGCAGGGGTATGCCAAGCCTCTGGGCAGGTGTGTCCTAACTGTCTTTTATACTATGAGTATAGAGCTAAGTATTTTGAGGGAAAGCAAGAAAACAGATGAGACTTCTTTGTGCTAAAGCAGTGAAGTTTTTGGCAGTCCAGTTACCTGACTGTCGTTCACTTTGTTCCTGTATTTGTTTCCTAGTGTTATCTTCCTAAGGAAAGGCTCATGCTTTCAGATGCAGCTTTGACTCAGTGGATAGAATACTAGACTTGAGTCAGAAAGACCTGAGTTCAGATCTGGCTTTACCAACTATGTGACCATGGGCAAGTCACTTAACCTTTATCTGCCTCAGCTAATTCAGCTGTAAAATTGGGATCATAATATTATCTGTTCTCAGGCTTCTGGGGATCAAATGAGATAATGTTTTTAAGTGCTTAGCACGGTACCTGGCACACAGTAGATATTTAATAAATACTTGTTTCCTTCCTTTCGGGTACCAAAGGTCTTACGTCCAGAATATACTAAAGGTCTATATAATAATAATTCTGTTCACAGAATAGTAGATAAGTTTGACTTCACTTGAAAAGAAGTATGGACTAGACAATATTTATGAAAGGAGACAGGTGCATTTGTAGAGAGCTTTGAAGTCTATTATTAGAAGTTTGGTTTGATGAGTTACTAGTCCTTCTAGGCGTTGAATCATTTTTCACATACTAGCAGTATCAAAGTTAAAGCTCTCTTTTTCAAGACTATTTGCCTATTATTCATTTATAAAAATGAAGAATAGCCCCATTGTTTTAGATAAATTCTTAGCAAATTGACATAATTCCAAAATCATTAAAAAAAATTTTTTTTTTAGGCAGTTGGGTTAAGTGACTTACCCAGGGTCACACAGCTAGTAAGTGTTAAGTATTTGGTCTGAGGCCGGATTTGAACTCAGGTCCTCCTGACTTCAGGGCCGGTGCTCTATCCACTGCGCCACCTAGCTGCCCCCCCACCAAAATTATTACATACAGATTTTGAGTTGATTTTTGGTACCTTCTTGGAAAGCTGGAAGAAGCTTGGTGTATTGGGAAGAGCACTAGGTTTTAGTCTAAGTTCTGCCATTAATCATCTCTGAGTAGAGATAGCCTCTCTAATCTGTGTCCTCCTCTGTAAAATGAGAGGACTGGACTAAATGACCTTTCAGTCAGTCAGTAAACACTGAGCACCTACCATGTACTGGGCACTGTGCTAACTATAAGGATACAGAGAAAGTCAACAGACAATCCATCCTCTCCAGGAGCTCACCCTTTAATATCCAAAACAGCTATGAACCCACAGAGTATAGAGAGGATAAATAAGTGATGTCTCAGGGGAGAGGCATTAAGATTAAGAAGGACTGAGGAAAAGCTTATTGCATAGGGTAAGACATTAGCTGAGGCTTGAAGGAAGCCAGGGAATTCAGGAAGTGGAAAAGAAGAGAGAGAATATTCCATTTATGAGTCAGTGAAGATGTCTGGAGTTGAGAAATGGAGTGTCTTGTCAGGAACAGCCAGGAGGCCAATGTCATAGGATTGCAAAATATCTGGAGAGGAGTAAAAGGTGTAAGACTAGAAACATAGGGAAAGGCCAGGTTATGAAGGGCTTTAAAAGCCATCCCAGTATTTTCTGTTTGATTCTGGGGTGTAAGAGAAAGCCATTTGAATTTATTGCATGAGGGATGGGGGTGACATGTTCAGATCTGTGCTTTAGGAAGATCTTTGCCTGTTCATGGAAACTATATTCTAATTAGAATCATATCTCAACTTGTAGAATAGCTCCATTCCATTATTAGTGATCTTGTCTTACCATATGATGATAATATTGGGAAATGTCTAAAACCTAAGGAAAAAATGATTCAGAAAGGGCTTAGACATAGTTTTGCTTTTTGAGGTATAAACTACTTCTCTATGTTCTAACAACATCATTTTTCAGTCACTTCATGGTGATCTATGCTCCTTCAGTAGATATGCATCATCCTTTTCCTCCCCGCCCCCTCTTTATTTGCAGACCGAGCTAATAGATCTGTCTACAGTAGATGTGATCCTCATTTCAAACTATCACTGCATGATGGCGTTACCTTACATCACTGAGCACACCGGTTTTACTGGTACAGTGTATGCTACAGAACCTACTGTGCAAATTGGCAGGTGAGCACCGCATATTTACATTTTTAGCCTGTTAAACACACCTTACCCTCAATATCACATATTTCATGTAGGTCTCTCCCAAGAGAGACTTTAGTTCAGTGATGAATAACTGAAACCAAGGTGTAAGCAGACACTGAAATTTTCAATGGAATTCCCCCAGGATTGATACTAGGAATAGTGTTATATAACAGTTAGAGGAGGGAATACACACTTTCCTCAGGGAAATGATATTAAGCTCCTCTGGTTAGTGAAATGCCAAGCCATAAGGAGAAAACTGCAGAGGATTTGTCAGTAGAGTCACAAATTCACTATAAGGGAATATCAAGAATTTTATTTAGAGGGAAAAGAATCTGAACCACATAACCTGATTTTCCTGCAGAAAACCTCCCTTTAGGTTATACATTTTACCATTAAAACAGGAGGCAGCATGGGGAGAGCAGAGAGTAGGATAATGATGCAGATAATTTGTTGCTTCTGCTGTGACAATGCAGCTTTGTGCTCTGGGATATGAGAAGTGTTTAAGAAACTTTTTTACTTTGAGCATTTTCCTACTTCTCTCAGTTGCTTTAAGCTACCAGGGTTATTTGTGATGTTCAACTACATGGACCACTGTGGTATAGTGGAAACAGCAGCTAATATGGAGGCAAAATATCAGAGTTTGATTCCTGCTTAAGTCAAAATCTTGGAGCAAGTCACCTGACCCCCTGAATCTCAGGGTAATAGGCACCAGACTGTCATGAACCAGCAAAGCCATCTAGCAGTCATAGATTGTTCCTGAAGATACAGGCCTTTTGCATCCCTGTGACCAGGTGGCCAACCAAACCACACCATTCCTGTCAAACCCTATTGCATCTCTTTCTTTTGGTGTGTCTATTCAGTTTTAGTCACTGCAGTTAGAGAAAGGAGTGATTCTAGAGAATATTCAGTGAAGAGCAAGTAAAATCAACAGAGAGTGGGGGAACTTTTCATAAGGACCACTCGATCTGGATGGATAAAGTATTTGGAGGGAAGCATAACTGAAAATTGTCGAATACTAGAAATAGAATCCCTCTTTAAAGCTTGAAAGAAACGGTTTTAGGAGGAAAAGGAAGTTCTACTTTATTCAACAGATATTAATGTACTAACTTTTCAAGAAGTAGCACAGGCTGATACATAAGTACAGTAAACATTAATAGTTCACTAAGGAAAATAAGGAATATTTTGGGAATATTAGGAACTTGTGAATATTAGATCCCTATTCTTACAAAGTTGACATCATTGAAGATAATCATTCCCTACACAAACTTTCCCTTTGTGTCACAGCAAAGACAGCTTCCTGGTTTGGATGAACATTTGGGCTAGCATAATATAGCATTTCTTGTGTTCTTTTGTTACCCATTCAGGCTTGAGGTTTTCCAGGCTTTCACTATTTAGTTTCTTTTATTAATCCATTAGTGTCAGTCTTCACAGCACTCAGTTCTGTACCAAATTCTGCTAACTCCTAGTAACAAATTTTAAAAATCAGTGAGTATCACAGAGCAGTTTCATATTTTGCAAATCTTGTAACTATTGTTTCATTTTTAACTTGAAAGATTTCCCCACCTTTAACTTCCTATATAAATTATCGTCTCATAATTCCCTTTTTGTTTTCTAAATAAACCTTTTGAAAGTCAGGACTACAAAATATTGGGAGCATATTAGATTAGCTATTACACGTTTCAGTAACACAAAGACAAGGACTCATCCAGCCTGGTTTTAGAGAGTAACCAAACATTAATTTTCAGATTATTTTTACACTTTTTTTCATAGAATTTTGAAGTTGGAAGGGATCTTGGAGATCGTTTAGTCCAACTTTCTCATTTTGTTACTAAGAAAAAATGAGTTCCCTAGTTAGAAGTGACGAAGTCAACTTGCTTAATGTCACAAAAAAAGGACAGTTTTGATTAACTTGGTGTAAAATGTCACCAACTTTATATACAGCAGAGATGATGATGAAGGGCAGCAAAATTCAATTAGAATAAAATATTAAAGGACAGTATTTTATTTACCCTCTTTTTTTTTTTTTTAAACCCATAGGCTTCTTATGGAAGAGTTGGTGAATTTCATTGAACGAGTGCCAAAGGCTCAGTCTGCCTCCTTGTGGAAGAATAAGGAAGTGCAAAGGTAAGAAACAGCATAGGCTTTTCAAACAATAATTCAACATTCAATTCAATAGATATTTATTCGGTAAATATATGTAAAGCACTTTGTTAGTCACTAGGAATATAAAAACAAAAGTAAACCCTGCCCCAGGATATTACATTATCATTATAATATCAGTCACACGTTCAGACAATTCATTTGTCTAGGTTATTTTGTGCTTTGTACAATACATATTTTTTTTCCTCATTTAATCTTCATGGTCTTATGAGATAGGGAGTCCATATATTATTACCCTTGTTTTGTAACTGAGAAAGCTAAGACCCAGAGATATTAAGTGAGTTGGCCCAAGCCACACAACTAATTAATAAGAAGTAGATTAGAATCAGACAACTCTTACTATGATGCTTCTTCTACTTTTGGACCACCTACATTACCTGCACTTGCCTGTCCAGGTACTACTTTATCTTAACACTCTTTCCACTGAGCATTCTTTTCTCTTCTCCCCTCATACTGCTCCCTTCCCCCCAATTACTATACTGACTCTGTCCTGCCTTCTCTTTAGAACATGTTCTTGACTTTACAGGTAAATCTGTCTCTTTTCAAAAATAACTATCTCTGTGGACCTAGGGTGTGGTCCATCTGGGAAGAGAGTCCAGTCATTCACAAGAGAAAGCATGTCAGCAGCAACTCTTATGACCTAAGATGTCTGTTATATCAGCAGAGGATAAGAAGCAAATAATGATCAGTTCCATTTAACAAACACACGGATACTGCCGAGGTGCTCACTCTTTGGCGCTTAGGAGCTCTTTGAGAAGTCATGTAACCTCTCTGAGCCTCAGTTTCCTCATCTGTAAAATATTTTATCTACCTCTCAGGGTCGTTTTGAAGAAAGTGTTTTATAAATCTGAATAATTATTATGCTAATTTTGAAGGTTAGAGGAAGTGGGATGTGGAGAAATATGGAATTGGGAAAGGTGTGGGTTCCAACTCTACTTCCAAAACTTAGTTATGGGATTATAAACAAGTCAGTTCTGTGCAGTTTCTTAATCTGTAAAATGTAAAATAATCACAGTAATGCTAAAATCAGATAACATATTGAAAGTGCCTTACCAAGTTTACAACCCTATATAAACAAATGTCTATTGCTTCTGTTATTGAGAAACAGTGTAGCTTTGGAGGCTGAAAGAACTAGATTCACATCCTAACTTTTACCCATTCTAACTGTGTGACCATAGCCAAGTCACTTAATCTCTCTGTATCCCAGGCAACTCACTTAGATTATAAATTAGAGATAAGTTGACTATCTAAATCAAGAGAGGGAGTTTTCACTTTGGGAACTCTCTACCCTGATAAATTCACAGATCTTAACAGAAAGAACCTGACTTAATATTATTATTATTGCTACTAGTAGACCTCTTCTCAGTCTACTTTGCTTGATCTTTATCCAAATCATGCCCTGTAACCATAGGTGTTCTGCAGGATTCTATCCTGGGCCCTCTTCTCTCCCTCTATACTTCTTCACTTGGTGTCTCATCAGCTCCCATGGATTCAATTATTATCTCTATACTGATAATTCTCAAATCTACCTTTCCTGCTCTAACCTCTCTACTCACCTCCATATTTGTTTCTCCAATTGCATTTCAGACACCTCGAATTGGATGTACAGTAGACATCTTAAACTGAACATGTCCAGAACAGAAATCTTTTATCTCATCCTCTAAACCATACCTCCCATCACCTTTCCTATTGCTGTCAAGGGTAACACTATCCTCCCATTCCCTCAGGCTTGCAACCTAGGAGTCATCCTGGATTCCTCACTTTCTCTCACCCTCCATAATCCAAGCTGTTGCCAAGGCCTGCTGATTTCACCTTTGCAACGTCTCTCAAATATACTACCTTCTCTCCTCTGACACTGCCACCCTCCTGGTGCAGGACCTCATCAGCTTACATTGGTACTATTACAGTAGTCTGCTGGTTGGTCTGCCTTCCCGAAGTCTGTCCCCGCTCCAGTCTATCCTCCGTTCAGCCACCAAAATGATGTTCCTAAAGCATAGGTCTAACTCCCTATACAGTAAACTCCAATGGTTTTCTAATGCCTCCAGGCTCTATTTGGCATTCATAACCCTTCATAACCTAGCTCCCTCCTACCTTTCCAGTTTTCTTACACCTTACTCCCTAATATGTTTTTTTTTGATTTAGTGACACTGGCCTGGCTGTTCCACAAACAAGACACTCCATCTGTTGGCTCTGGGAGTTTTTTCTGGCTGTCCTCCATGCTTAGAATGTTATCCCTCCTCTGTTCTAACTACTGACCTCCTTGGCTTCCTTTAAGTCCTAACTAAAATCTCACCTTCTACAGAAAGCTTTCCCCAACCCCTCTTGATTCCATTGCCTTCCCTCTTTTAATAATTTCCTATTTGTCCTGTAGATAGCTTGGGATATATTTGTTCGCATGTTGTCTCCCCCATTTTATTGTGAGCTCCTCATGGAGCTCACCTCTTTTTGTGTCCCCAGTGTTTAACACAGTGCCTGGCACATAGTAGGTGTTTAATACATGTTTACTGACTGACAGACAATATGTTAACTCTCCTTCCTATCTTTGTGTCATCTGTAAATCTGAAAAGCATGACATCAGTGTCTCCATATGTCACTGATAAAAAATAAATGCTTTTTAACTGACCGATCATTATACTTAGTCTTGAGAAGAGAGATTGTAGGGGCAAATGTGACAGCCTAGTGCCCCTGTAGAAGTCTTTTACATTCTTATTCCTCTGTGTGTGTGTCTGTTGCTTCTCTGTTCCCCTTTTTCTTTTATATTCAACTTCATCTTACTTCCTTTAAATTTACAGCCTTCATGTTACTATACCATAAATAATTTTGGCACCAAAGAAAATTTGTGTTGTGAGGTCAGTACTTCCTGACTTCTGAGACCTAGATCTGAAACACTGGACTAAGTCTCAGGAAATCCCAAGTTCTAATTCTGTCTTTTTCCTTTGTGACCTTGGGCTAGGCCCTATCCATGAAATATAAAATCACTAGCTTAGAAAGGAAATGTACTAAACACTGACCGGGTTGAAGAATAAATCATCTATTTTTTTAAGTGACTTGACATAAATCCTTTTGAAAGGGTTATTGAAAATCAAGAGAGGGAGGTAATAATTTTAGAATTGCTTTTTTTGGTGTCCAGAAGCCACAAACTAGGAGAAGCAAGTTTGGCTGAGCAGCAGAGGAATGACAGGTGCAGATTTAGAATTATGGTAAAGCCAAAAGTCCCTGTGGTTCCGTGTAAGATTTTTTCACAAGAGCTTTACTCTGTGGATTATAAATGTAAGATTACGTGTGACTATCAAGCCTGTGCTCTTGGCACACAAGAGAATTAAGCTTGGGGGAGAGGGGTTGTAATTAAGTAATATAATGCATCTCTCAACCACAGGGTATGTGAAAGCTAAAGGTAAGGGAGGAGAACATGAAGCTATCTAGAAACATGAGTAGAGAAAAGAAAGAACTGGCAGTAAATATCCACTCTCCTTCCTATCTTATCTTTACCTCTTTCCAAGAGTATTAGGATCTTGTGATAGTCCAAGCAGGACCATTTCATTTTTTTAAAAATAATACCTTTTTAGACAATTCCTTGTTCACTCTCAAAGATTTGAGTCCATGTCTTGTCTACGCTGAATCATCAGGTGTCTCTCATCTCTCTTTTGGGTTGTTTTGGTTTTGAGGGAGAAGGGGATGACAGAACTACCTCTGGTTGCAGCTTGAGCTTCTTTGGACAGGTAATGCTTGCTTAGTAAAGACCCAGGTCTATCTCCATCCATGTCTGACATAAGTAAAAGATGAGCACACCACTTACGTAATAGATGGTAAAGCAGGCTTCTCAACCGTCCTCCAGAATTCTAAAGTTAACACTTTTCCTTTCCTATCTCCCCTATGTTCCTGTCTTTAGAGAAGAATCTCAAACTATATACATATATATATGTGTATGTAATTGGCACAAGTGTAGACACTTGCTTATTTATTGGTAGGCAGAAACTGTATAACTGAGAATGAGCAGATAAACCCTACCCGAAATTAAGGAATCATTTAAGGCTGGTGAAAAAAAAAAAATTGGACACTTGGAAAAAGGGTTTAGAGCAGGGGTGGGGAACCTGTGGCCTTGAGGCTCCATGTCTCTTTCTTGATCCTTGGGTACAGCCTTTTGACTCAATCCAAGTTTTACGGAGCAAATCCTTTTATTCAGGGAGATGTGTTCTGTGAAGTTTGGATTCAGTCAAAGGATCACACTTGAAGGTCTAGAGGGCAACATGTGGCCTCTGAGGCCACAGGTTCCCTACCACTGTTTTAGAGTAATGGAAATGCCAAATTATGTCTAACTTGAAGGTAAACTTTTTTGTGAACCTTGATGACTTTGAAAGATAGAGAAGCATTGATGGGTAGGGTGGCGGGTTGTTTTGTTTTGTTTTGTTTTTTTCCTTCCAGAACAGAATTTTGTTTTGAGGGTGAATCATTTTGGTGGAATAAGGCTGGCTTTTTTAAAGGAATATCCTGAAGTGTTAGAAAAGGGAAGAAAACAGATCCTTGGATGTAAATGTAAGTGGTTGTTGGTTAAGGGTCAAAGATTTAGAGCTGGAAGGGATGTCTAGGTCATCTAGGCTAAAGATTTTCCTGTTATGTAACTTAGAAAGGATAAAATTTCTTTGGGATCCAGAATTTAATCTTATGCTAGTAGACAAAGTAATAAGTTCATCTTGGAAGTATTTATACAAAAGGATACTGAATTGCCCTTGTATTATATCCCTAGAAGTATGACATAATAGAACAAGCTTTAGACTTGGGTCAGGAAATCTTAGTTGAAATCCTGGCCCTGATATTTCATAAGTCTTTGACAATGGGCAAATCATTTAATATTTCTGAATCTGTTTCCAACCTCTCAAGTTTATTGTGAGGAAAGCATTTTGTAAATGTCACACTGTAATGCCAACCTTTGACTTCTGTACTCTGGTGGTCTTGCCCCTTGAAAG